ACAGGTGCGGGTTGTGTTTTTGGGGGGGGGGGGCGCGGATAGGAACAGTGGCTGTGAAGGGGGTGGTGGGGAAGATCTTGGGGATGTGTGGGTCAACAGCTCGTCCGGCAGCCACATGCCTTACGTCTTGGCGCCTCAGCTCCGCCGGCCCCGCCCTTGGAGAACGCGTGGCCACCCCACTTGGCCGGCGGCGCCCCCTCCGTCCGCCGGCGCCGCCCCAGCCCCTCCGCCCCACAAGCCCTTCTTCCGCCGCCGCCTCCCCTTCTGCTCACAACTGCTGCCAGGTCATCGATCCTCAACAGCACCAGCTCCATGGTGGACCTGGCCTCGCTCCTCTTAGAGCGCCCCCACCTGGTGGCTGCGCCTGCGGATGCCGCGGCGCTGCTGCCGCCGAAGGGCACGGAGACCCCTTACTTGGAGGGCTACGACTTTTCTCGGGGCACCGCGGGCGGCAGCAGCAGCAGCAGTAGCGGCGGCAGCAGCGGCAGTGGCGGCGGCGGCGCCAGTGGCGCCAGTAGCAGCGGAAGCGGCGGCGCCAGCACCGGCAGTAGCAGTGGCGGCAGCAGCGGCGGCGCGCAGCGCGAGGATCTGCGCGCGCCGGAGGCGGCGGCGGCGCGCGGCGGCGTCGGCGCAGCCGCGGCGGAGTCCGTCGCGCTGGTGTGGCTGCGGCGCGCGGACCGGATGGGCGACAGCGAGGCGACGTTCCATCTGGCGTGGCTGCACCAGCACGGCAGGGGCGTCGCGAGGGACCCGGCAAAGGCGGATAAGCTGCTGTCAAGGTGGGCCTACGCGCGGGCGCGCGGCTTGGCGGGCCCCAGTGGGCGCGGGCGTGCCAGGAGGGCTGAATGGCAGCGGTCTTGTGAGGAGCGCTTTCAAAAGAAGGGGTTGTGGGCACGTGGGGGTGTGGACGCCGCATGCTCGCATCGCGTCTGTGCTGGGGCCGCCAGCCTGCGTCGTGGCTGCATATGGGCCTCCTGGCATGCACATAACCCCCCTTTCATCTCTCTCTCTCTCTCTCACACACACTCACACACACACACATGTACACGCACGTACATTCGCACGCACATACGCACACGTTCACACACATACACACACCACACCCAACACCTGCTGCGCACACCCTCAGCGCGCTGGCTGACGAGCCCGACAGCGCGCGGGTCGTGGTGCTCACGGTCGCGTCCGCCCTGCTGCGCGCCGAGCGCTGGCTCTCCGCCGTCGCGGGCCAGCCAACGGCGGACGCGGCGGCCGCGTGGCTCCGGTGGCTGCGGGACGCGTCGCCGATCTCGGCGGCGAAATCGATGCCTGAGCTGACCGCGGAGGACGAGGAGCAGGCAGCAGCAACAGCGGCGGCCCCGGCGGCGCCGCAGCAGCAGGAGGAGCAGCAGCGGGAAGAGGAGGAGGAGCAGCAGCAGCGGACGACCCCTGTGCAGCAGCCGCCGCACGCGCCGCCCCCGCGCGCCCCCGACGCGCCGCAGCGCGCCGCGCGGCCGCGGCCGCCGCCGCGGCTCGAGTTTTCGGTTGACCGGGCGTCAGGGGACGGCGGCGGCGGCAGCGGGGACGACGGCGGGGAGGGCGGCCCGTTGTTTGAGGACTTTCTTCGTCTGCTGGGATCTGAGAAGGTGGCGGCTGACGATGTGGTGCTTACAATCATGCTGGGCGCCCTGGCGGCCGTGATGTGGCTGCGCAACCGGCAGCTCAACGGGCCGCCGGCGGCCGCGCGGGCGGCGGCGGCGAGGCGGGCGGCGGAGCAGCAGCGGCGGCAGGAGCAGGAGCGGGAGGAGCAGCGGCAGCGACGGCAGCAGCACGAGGAGGAGCGGTCGGGGCCCCAGGAGCAGCTGCAGGCGGAGGCGGGCACAGGGTTGGGAGCGCAGTATCCTGCGACGCTGCTGCGGCGCGAGAATGGGACAAGCAGGCCCGCGACTGTGCCGGAGGCGGCAGAGGGTGAAGAGGAGGAACAGGACGAGCAGCAGCAGCAGCGACAGCAGCTCCTACAGCAGCAGGAGCGGCAGCAGCAACAGGAGCAGCAGCATGTGGAGGTGAGCGACGGCGAGCGGGGCAGCCCAGGCAGCCCGCGATCACCGGACAGTGTCCAGGTGGGCTCTCAGCTGCAGCACCTACAGCAGCAGCAGCAACAGCAGCAGCAGCAGCAGCAGCAGCAGCAGCAGCAGCAGCAGCAGCAGCAGCACCAGCACGCCGCGGAGGGCGGCCTGCAGAGAAGGCGGCCCTGGGAGCAGGGGGAGTGAGAGGCCCGAGGGCGCCCGCAGCCAACCGGCGGGCTCGTGCCTGCACCCGCACCTAGGCGGTCCGGCCCCATGGATGCATCCCTTGCTGTTCTGCCCACGTCAACTGCAAGGTCTGGCCGCGTGGTTGGCAACAAGTAACCTTTCCAGGTCTCTTTTGCTGCAATTGCATGCACCCTTGTTGGCTGCCCTTGCACAGTTTATTACGCAGGTTGATAAGTTTGCAGCGGAGCTAAAAGCGGTGCAGACAACGATTACTAAGTAGCAATAGGCCAGAAAAAGCCAGATGGACCCCTCCTGGGCTATCGCGCGTCAAGGCGGTGCGCAGCAGCTACCACGCTCGCGGCGCAAGGGGGTTTTGCCCACATGGAGCGCAGCGCGGGCTGCAGCGCAGACCCATCCAGCCAAGTGCCGCGTACAATGACAAAATTGGTCAGGGAGGCCAGGACACAAGAAGACGTTCGACGCGGCAGTCATTTGTCAGAATGCTGCCCATCCGCGGTGCGGCTGCTCGGGCCTGGGTGCTCAACGGCACAACTGCTGGCGCGGCCGCGGCGGCGGCAAACGTGAAGGGGTGGTGAAATGGTACGGAGGCACGAGCCTGCAGCGCCCGTCACGCAGTGTCACAAGCACCCAGCAAGAGGGTAAAGAATGCTGCCGAGTCGGGGATCAAGTGATGGGCCCCGGGCGGCCAGGGACTGTCATTTGGTATGCAGCCCTGCGCCTGACAGCGCTGCCGCTCAGCAGGCGCGCCCGGCGCAGCGAAGCAAAGATGTCAGCCGAGGCGCGGCGCCGCCGCTCTTTCGCGGCGGCTGCCCTTGGCGCCTCCAGGCCGCCCAGCGAACAGTTTTCGCAACAGTGCGTTGAGAGAATCAATTGCGGGCCAAGCTGCTAGGCAGCTACTAGGTGTGAGTCAAGGCTGCTACGCCCCTACTGGTGGTGGAATTGGGAGGCAAGCCACTCGTTGTGAGCCTCGTGGTGCAAGTCATGGTGCCAGTCGTGGTGCAGCTGCTGCTGCTGCTGCTGCTGCTGCTGCTGCTGCTGCTGCTGCTGCTGCTGCTGCTGCTGCTGCTGCTGGTGGTGCTCCTGGTGCTGCTGGTGCTCTTGATGCTGGTAAACCTGCTGCTGGGGGACCTGCACGTGCGGCGAGCGCGCCTGCTGCTGCTGAGGCACCGCATGCGGGTGCTGCTGGTGCTGGTGGTACGCAGGCTCGGCATGCTGCTGGTGGTGCTGCTGCCGCTGCTCCTGCTCCCACCGCCAGCCGTCGTGGCCGCCGCCGGCCCCCCCGTGCGCGCTGTGATGCGCCTGCGCCATGTGCCAGTCATGCTCCCTCTCGTCGCCCCAGTGGCCGTCGTGCGCATCGTGGCCATGGCCGTGGCCGCCCCCGGCGCCGGCATTCTTGATGTAGTCAATCGCCGCCTGCTGCTGCCAGTCGTGCTCGTACCGCTCGCCAGAGTGGCCGTGGCCGTCCTCGTAGTGGTGCTGCTCCCAGCCCTCGCCGCTGGTCTCCCAGCCAGCGTGGGGGTCGTGGCCGCCATGGCCGCCGCTGCCGTGGGCGTCGCCGTGCTCGGCTTCCCACTGGTGGTGATGGCTGTCTTGTGCGCCCCAGTGCTGCTCATGCAACTGCTCGTGCTGCTGGTTGTGGTGGTGCTGGCTTTCCGCCGCGCCCCAGTGCTGCTCATGGTGCTGCTCGTGCTGCTGATCGTGCGCGTCGTGGTGCTGTGCCTGCTGGTGCTCCTGGTGCGCCTTGCCCCCGCTGTGCAGCTCGTGCTCCTGCTCAAGCCACGCCTCGTACTCCATCTCGCCCTCGAGCAGCAGGTCGTACACCGCGTTCTCAACCTCGGCTTGGTCCCAGGTTTGGCCCATCAGCTTCATGGGACGGCCACGCTGGTCAACCAGGATCTGAAGGGGCGGCATGGAGGTGGTTTGAGGGGTGCTGTTTGGGTACCCTTCGCGGACGGGCTGTCTCAGGCAGTCGACATGCATGAAGTGAGCTTTTGTCAATGTCAGATGGTGAGATATAAGTGAGGCTTGGGCTGGGCGCTTCGAGGGATGAACCACATTGCGGCGGCTGTGTGCAGGCTGCGTATGAATCAGGCCGTTGTGGCTCAAACCGTCTGCAAGCAGACTTTGTGCGGCTGAGATGAGAACATGCTTTCAGCTCGTCCGCCCAACCGCAGGACGCCCTACAGCCCCCGCCCAAGAGGATCGAAAGGCCCCAACCCCTGAGAGCTGCGCGCCTTTTGGAAGTTCGCGGCCAGGTCGCGCCCGGGCCCCACGCCACCGCCGCCGCCCTCCTTGACGGGCAGCTCCGTCTTGAGGAAGTGGTACAGGGGGTGGGCTGCGGCGCCGTTGACAAAAGCCTGGTCGAGGGAGGGAGAGTCAATGCAGGGGTTAGATGCGAGGAACAGTTACGGAGAAAAGTTTCAAGGGAGCGGCGTGAGGCAGGTGGCACGAGGGCGCGGCTGATAGGGCTTGGACTGCCGAGGGTGGTTTGGGCGCCGTTGGGCGTGCGAAGCTGGCAGGGAATGGGCCTGGGTGGCGGGTGGCAGCCTCGGCCTGCCGGTGCTTCTGGCGCCCGTTGTCAAGGTCCTTCTGTATCTCGCTCATCCCTTTGCGACTCCCTTCTCCCCTCACATGCGCACACGCTCTTGCACGCCGCTAATCAGCCGCAATCACCCCACCAGCACCCCTGTCATGCACGCACCTTCTCGAACAGAGGGAAGCTGGCGTTCAGCTGCCTGGCAAACGCCTTGATGTCCTGGCTGCTCCCGGGCTCCCCACCAAATTGGTTGGAAGGGAAAGCAAGGATCTCAAGCCCATGCTCTTTGTACTTCTCATACACAGACTGCAGGCCTGGGTTTTAGGGGGCAGATTTAGGGGGTACATTTGTGCGGACCAGTGGATGCAACTAGGCATCTGGATGTGGATGTGCTTCAGGTGTGACAATCACGATAGAAATCGGCACGACAGCGGAATGGTGCGCTCGTGCGTGCACGCGGGCGAGTAGCTGGCCCGGCTGACGCCGCACCTCACGGCCCCTTCCAGGGCCGCGTCAAGTGCGGCGCCCTCGCAAGCGTAAGTCGAGTTCTGACGCACGGCATGCACCCCGAGCTGCCCTGGTAATGAGCCTCACCCTTGAAGTTTGACTCTGCCAGGCTGCTCTTGGTGGCCAGGTTGACCACCAGGGTGACCTTGCCCGCGAAGTCGCTGAGGTGGCGCTCAGCGCCATCGATGTTCTTCACAGACTGGGCAGCAAGGGTGGTGGTAGTTGCTGGGTCGGAGGAGGGGTGCTACACACGCGTGTGTGCTCGGCTGTGGCAGGGCTGGGTGCAAGGCCTGACGCGACGAGGCACATGCCTTGCCGGGATGACGCGGCCGAGTTTATTACCATCACTCAATGCGGCCGCAAGCGGCGCACCTGCCATGGTTGATGCCGCATGGCGTGCGTTGAAACTGCATCCAACATCCAACCCTCCTTACTCGCCCCTCCTCGCTCAAAAGGCCCCCCTAAACAAGCTCACGAGAGTGTACATGCCCTGCGGCCGTGCATGGTCGGGGTGGTGCAGGTAGTGCGCGGCGTGGTCGTGGTTCACGTGGTGCGCCTTATCCTCCTGGGGGTCTGGCAGCGCGTGCTGCTCGACGTGCCAGTGCTGCAGAGGGTCGTGCTCCGAGGGGGGGTGCGCGTGCTCCTGGTAAAGGTGGGCGTCGTGGCCGCCCTCATGGTGGGCGCCGTGGCCGTGGCCGTCCCAGTGGTGCTGCTGCTGCGCCTCCCACTGGTGGTGGTGGTGCTGCTGCTGCTGCTGCTCCTGCCACTGGTGGTGGCGGTGCTGCTGCTGCTCCTCGTGCTGCTGCGGCGCCTCCCAGTGGTGCAGCTGCTGCCAGTGGGCGTCGGTATCATGCTGCGCCGGCGGGGCGGCGTCGTGCTGCCAGGCGGCGTGGTGGTTGTCGTGGCCCTCGACGTCGCTATGATCATGGTGGAGGTCGTGGGTGTGGTAATGGTCGTATGAGTCGTGGTGGTCGCCCCCAAAAGGCTCATGCGCGTGGCCGCCGCCGTGGTCATGGCCGCCATGCTGGCTGTCGCCGTGCTGGGGCCAGTCATGGTGCTGCCAGTCGTGGTGCTGCCACTCGTGGTATTGGTCTGCGGCGGGAGTCTGCTGCTGGTGCTGGTGCTGGTGCTGGTGCTGCTGCTGCTGCTGCTGCTGCTGCTGCTGCTGCTGCTGCTGCTGCTGCTGCTGCTGCTGCTGCTGCTGGTGCTGCTGGTGCTGCTGCTGCTGCTGCTGCTGCTGCTGCTGCTGCTGCTGCTGCTTGGCGGCCTGGTTGCCGGCATTGTGCTCGTGCCAGACCTTCTGCTGCCATTGGTTGTGTGCGTCCTGGGCCTCAGTATGCAGGTGGTGGCCGCCGCCGCCAGCACTGGGATGGTCGTCGTGGAAGCCGTGGGGGTGGCCGCCCTCCACGTCAGGGTGGTCCCAGAGCTTGGACCAGGTGTTCATGTGCTCATGGGGGTGCCCGTCGGCATCAAATTCCTGCGGGATCGCGGTGAGTAAAGTTAGCGTGGCCGTCAGCTGCCACGTGAGGGCCTGGCGGCTGGCAAGCCGCATGACGGAGGAGCGTGGCCAGTGGGGGCCCCAGTACAGAAACATGCATGGCACCGGCCGCTTTTCTTGAAGACGGCAGCATGCATTGCAGAACAGTGCAGTGACAGTGCGGTGCAGTGCGCCGCAGCACAACGCACCTCCAGGCCCAGGACATGAGGCCCCGCGCGGTGGTGCCGAGCGCCCATGCGGCTCAGCGTCACCAGCGCGTACATGCCAAACACTACTACGGCCGCGATGGCGACGTGCCTGCGAAGGGGGCCGAGCGTGTTGCGCCGGGGCTCGTGATGCGTGCGGGTGAGTTTGCTTGGCTTGGCTGGCAGATGTCGACACTGCATGCCCGCAATGCCGGCCGCTGCACGCGCAGCGCAGCCTGAGCCAGTAAAAATAATCAACTCACTGGGTGATTCCGCGCTTCTTGCGTGGATGCATGCTGGAGAGGCTGCCCGAGCGAGACGCCACCGGGAGCAGGTCCCCGGCGTCGAGGCCCCCGGGGGTCCCCAGGGACCGCACACGCCGCATCATTTTTGAGCGCTTTCGTCTATAGGGTGCAATCAATTGCTATCACCACCTCCTTCCAGGGAAATGGCCGGCCCACGAGCCCGCCGGCCAGCAGTTGCGAGCCTTGAGCTCGCAGATGACACGCCCCCTCTAGCAGCCGTTTCGACTATTAGAGTTGAATTACTGCTATAATATCGGGCCTTCGCTAGCGTGCGCACGTCTGTGAATGACACAGGATGATTTTGCTTCGGGCCCCAGCGGTCGTGACTGATGCCTGCAGCTTCCCCTTGAGCTGCTGGGAGCCTCCAGGCTCAGCATGAGTGGTAAGGGTCTGGCTCGGAGACTGTCAGTTGTGCAAATATGTCTTTTTTAGTTCTGATTGAGGGAACGGCAGGTGGGGATCTATGCAAGCAGTGACAGTAAGCCAGGTGGTAGACGGGGCTGGTGTGTGCGTGCTAGCGTGTCGCGCTACCATCATGTGTATGTACACCCTTCCAAGACGGTCGATACAGGTTCGCAGCGTTGCTTGGCAACCCCAGTAACCCCCTTGCCATTCCCTACCCACCCTTCCATGACTGCTGCCAGTCAGCCAGCTGCCCCGCGTTGTCACACGGCGGTGTGTCCCAGTCTGCCGCTCCGCCGCCACCGCCGGACAGATTTGCAGCAGGCTGGCCCCAGTCTGCGCCGCGCTGCTGTCCGCGCGCGCCCAGCTTCCCCCAGTCTCGCTGCGGGCCCGGACAGGTGCCTCGGGGGGCCCCGAGGGTGGGAAGGCGAGGGAAGGGGGGGGGCGGGAACGCAGGGGCACGGCGCGGCGGCGCCGGGGGGTGGCGCGCTGCGGGCAGCGCGCACGGGCGCTCGTGCCGCGCCGCCGGGGGCTTTGAACCCCGCGGGGGCTGGGTGGAGGGGGCGCGCCCGCGTCCTATGGGTAGGGCTCTACAGCTGCTGCTGCATGCTGGTGCCTGCTGGCGCGTCCTGCAGGTGGGACGCGGCACAGGGGACGCGGCTGCTGCATGCTGCTGCCGCACGCTGGGCCCCGCCGCGTTGCACCCCTGCACCCCACTTGAGGCACGCGCACACGAGCAATTCACAAGGGAGCCTCAGCAAAACACGCCCCCCAAGCGCAAGCCGCAGCTACGTACTGCCGTTCCCGCCGCTGCAGCAGCCGCCAGTCCCCCGCTTTCATGGCTTCCTGGGGTGGTGCACAGCAGGCCTGCGTGTGTGCACGCGCGTGCTTGCGTCTGTGTTCACCTTGCATGTGCATGTGTGTGTGTGTGTGTGTGTGTGTGTGTGTGTGTGTGTGTGTGTGTGTGTGTGTGTGCGTGCGCGACCGTGCGCGCGTGCACGTGTATGCGCGTGTGTCATTGTGAGACGGGAGAGACCATCGAGCATGAACGAGCCACAAGCAGGCCACGCAAACTCCCCACGGGCACGCACTTGCTGATCATGACCCCCGCCGTCTTCGCCTTCACCCCCCGCCGCCGCCGCCGCCGCCGCCGCCGCCGCGGCGCTCTGGCCGGCGGTAACGATCCCCTTGCAGATGGCTACCGCTGCCGCCGCAACGGCAGCGTCGAGCTCATTCTGCGCCGCGTTGACCGCGTTGACCGCGGCCTCCAGCCGCCGCCTCCCCGGCGGCCTTGAAGCCCACGGGGGTCCCTAGCGCGCGCGCCGCGTCCGGCAGCTGCCCCAGCTTGGCCGCAGCCACGCGCGCCCACTGCCTCCATGGGGTCGTGGTCGGGGCCCGCCAGCAGGTCGGCGGGCAGCTTCCCGGCGTCTGAGCTGACCGCGTCAATGAGCGGGTTCCTTGGGGAGTTGCGCCAGGGTCACGGCAGGTTTTACAGGCGGTTTGAAGGGGCCGATACGAGGTGCTGCTGGTGCAGTCAAGCTGTGCACACAAACGCGCGCTTGCAACCGCAGTTTGCTGCTCGTGGGCTTTCGGGATGCCCTGCTGAATCACGCGCAGGTCGCCGATGGCCTGTTGGCGCAGACCATGTGGGGGCAGGCTATGAGTCGCAGGCACGCAGCTAGCCGTGCAACGCCCCTAACCACAGCGGCCCCACCTTCCCGTGCGTTATCCAACGAGCCGCTGGGGTTCATTTGAAATGTCCTTGAAGTGCGTCTCCAGCAGGTGCCTCAGAGAGCGCGCCACGTGCGAGGAAGGCTGTAATGAAAGTATGTGATCCGTTGAGGGGGCTTGAGCAGTGGCGACGCAAACTGGGCTCCTGCACCGCTCTCCTGCGGCCCGCACCAGCGCACCTTTCCCCCCGGGTGGGCGATGCCGTCAAAGGTGGGGTCAGAGCAGCGCTGCTCCGCCATATACTCGACCGAGCGCCGGAGGTGCGAGGTGGCTGGTCATGGTGGCTGAGGTGGGGGCAGAGGGGTGGGGGTCAGCATCAACGCCTGGGGGCCTGCTGCCCGGGAGCAGACCTGCGTTTCCCCTGTTGAGTGCGTTGCATGCGGTGATCGCACCAAAACTCGCAGGACTTGAAATCACGCGACTGCGCGTTGCAGATTGTGAGAAATCCATCCTCGGCCCTGCACCACGGCGGAAAGGGGAGCAATTCAGCCGCACGGGTGCGCATGCGCCAGCAGCATCGCAGCGGCGCGCACGCACTCGTCGTACCCCTCCTCGCCCTCCTGAGGCACAGCCAGGGCCCTGAGGACCGTGTACACCAGAAAGAAGAGCGCTTCTATGCCGCCTGTCGGGAGCGTTTTCCGTCCGCTGGCCACAATGAGAGTTGCGATCTGTAGTGCAGGTGACTCGCGACAATGCAAACCCATTCGATCTGAGATGAAGGTGCGGATCTCTACCGCATCTGCTGCCAATCGAAATCATACAGCGTGGGAACTGGACGTCCCAGCTAGCATCCCTTACCTAAAGTCTGATGAGATGACTGGTTGAGCGAGGGACCAAAGTGGCAGAACTGCAGAACCATGAGCATCTCCCAGCGCCACGCGCTCTGCAGGGGCCCGCAGGCCTCGCGGCCCCAGCCCAGCACGCGCTGCTGCGTGGTGTCGCTCCGGCGCGCGGGCCAACCTCTGCGCGCGGCGTCCGACGACTTGCAGGGGCTGCCCGGCCCCGACCATGAGGCGGCTGAGCGCACGCGCCAGGCCGGCCTAGAGGCTGCGGCCCCAGGCCCCGCCGTCAAATCCATTGACGACGGCATCACTTTGCGCGTGGCTGGGCCCGTGCGGGAGCTGGCAGGCGCAGTGGACCGGGTGGAGAAGGCGGTTGACCGGCTGGAGAAAACTATGGACCACAAGCTGGACCCGCTGGACAACAAGCTGGACCAGCTGGCGAACAAGCTGGACCGGCTGGGCAACAAGCTGGACCAGCTGGGCAACAAGCTGGACCGGCTGGGCGAAAACCTGACGTCGCTCAAGTCGGCGGGCGCGGTGGCGGTGGCGGCGCTGCTGGTGGTGCTGGTGGGCATCTCATCGCCGGATGTGTGGCGGGAGGGGCTGTACGGCCAGCTGCTCATGCAGGTCCTGCCGGGCGCCAAGTAGGCAGGGTGCAGCTCACCCCTGCCCCCAGGCGCGCCGCCCTGGAGTTGCGGCTGTGTTGGAACCCTCTGTCCAACACAGCCGTTCGGGCCCGCTCGTTTCTCACCCCCTGCTAGGTTTTTTGGAAAGATGATGTTTGTTGCAGGTGGTGGTTAACGCAGGTGTGCTAGGCATGTTGTGCTTGCGCCATGATCATGGCAGCTTTGCTGTTGTCTCGTTTTCCACTGCCTGTCGGACCTTTCGCCCGCTTGCTGGCCGTGGCATCCCTGGCTCCTGCCTCCCAGCTTGCCCTCGGCTCGCGCCCAATGTACAATATGCGCTGGCCCCACCGGCGCGGTGCTCGATTGTAACCATGCACCAATATCTGATCTGTAAGCCTGGACTGGTGTACCCGTCAGCCCGTCACCTGTGCTTTACGCTCCGGCAGTGTGTGCTCTGTGGCCCAGCTGAATGTGCACACTCTGTGAGGACCTCACTGGGGCCTGTGAGGGGGGCGGCATGGCAGCGTCCCGGCAGTTGCTCCACGCATTGCCAGCAGGGAGTTGTGGCAGATAAACGAGCAGCCGTGAGTGCGGTACAAGGGGATGACGCTGGTCGTATAGGCCAGCAAGGCACAAGATTGTCACACGGTACGGTGTGGCGTGGTGTGGGTGGGTGAGGAACTGGTAGCAGGCTTGACCGCCAGGAGTGCCCTAGGGCCTGGTGGAGCCCAATACAATCCGTGCACATCCCCGTGCAGGGCGGATGCGCGCAAGGCAACTGCCAAAGCAGCATTATTGGTGATGGCGAGATACGCTGCCGCATGTGACCCTGGTGGGGGGCTTGTGCAGACCTAGCGCATTGCACGCCGCCGCGTACGAATGGGATGGCGCCACAATGCCACAACTTGGCCCCCATCCTCTCGCCGGCTTGTTCACGCATGGATCTGGGGCAAGTAAGCCACCCACAGGGCTGTGTCAGCAACCAAGCGTTGCAGTGCGCAGTTAGCAGCCGGGCCAGGATTATTACGGCTCAAACAGGTGCTGATTAAAAGCAACCGTGGCCTGCCATGGAAAATGCAGCCAGTGCTTGAGGGTCCGCAGCTCAGGGGCACTCTGGGGGCACTGCAGTCACTTGAAGCCAACAACAACGTCTGTCCCCCGCCGCCGCCAAACTATTTGCAACACCCCGCATGCCTCCGGGTCCCCAATCCTGCTGTGGTCACGCACGGGAGCCCAACTGCCGCCGCCGCGCGACCGCCTCTCTTCAAACGCTCGCCACACAGCTGATGAGATCGGGACATGCTGTCTTCCCCAGTGGCAACGGGCGCTTGCCCATGAGGGCCCCCAATGGTTTCAGGTGGCGCGGCAGCCCCGCATAACGGATGGGAGAGGTTGATAGTAATGCGCAACTTCTACCAGAAGCAGCCCAGCCTCTCTTGTTGGTGGCCGCACCCTGCCAGTGCCCAGCACCTGCGGCCGGCGATCGGGCTCTCGAGAGACAAGCGTGCAGGCTGCGCTGGTCTGACCAGGCCAGCGCGAGCCAGCCATGTAGCCTTGCGCCAGCGCGGGCCCAGCGCCCATCGCGCAACCCAGTGCCCATAGCGCACGACAGCCTCCCTGGCCTACACTGCCAGCGTCATCTCCTTGTACCACACTCACGGCTGCTCGTTTACAGTATCTGCCACAACTCCCCGCTGGGAGCGCGTCGAGCAAACGCCGGGACGCTCCCATGCCCCCCTCCCCCTCAAAGACCCAGTGAGGTCCTTACAGAGTGCGCACATTCAGCTGGGCCACAGAGCACACACTACTGGAATGTGAAGCGCAGCTGACGGGCTGGCGGGTACACCAGTCCAGGCTTACAGATCAGATGTTAGTGCATGGTTAAAGTCGAGCACCCAGCCGGTGGGGCCAGCACATATTGTACATGGGGCACGAGCTGAGGGCAAGCTGGGAGGCAGGAGCCAGGGATGCCACGGCCAGCAAGCGGGCCAAATGTCCGACAGGCAGTGGAAAACGAGATAGCAGCAAAGCTGCCATAATCATGGCGCAAGCACAGCATGCCTAGCACACCCACGACCACCTGCAACTAACATCACCATTTAAAAGGAATCAGCAGGGGTGAAAAAAGGAGCGCGCCCAAGTGAGGGGTCCAACACAGCTGCAACTCAGGGCGGTGCGCCTGGGGTCAGGGGTGAGCTGCTCCCCGCCTAGTTGGCGCCCGGCAGGACCTGCATGAGCAGCTGGCCGTACAGCCCGTCCCGCCACACATCCGGCGATGAGATGCCCACCAGCACCACCAGTAGCACCGCCACCGCCACCACCCCTGTCGACTTCAGCGCCGTCACGTTTTCGCCCAGCCGGTCCAGCTTGCTGTCCAGCCGCTCCACTGCGCCTTTGAGCTCCCGGACGGGCCCGGCCACGCCAAAAGTGATGCCGTCGTCAATGGCTTTGACGGCGGCGCCTGGGGCGGCAGCATCTAGGCCGGCCTGGCCCATGCGCTCAGCCGCCTCATAGCCGGGGCCGAGCGGCCCCCGCGAGCCGTCGGACGCTGCGCACAGAGTAAGGCACTCGCGCCGGAGCGGGACCAAGCAGCAGCGCGTGCCAGGCCGGGACCGCGACGCCGGCGCGCCCCTGCAGAGCGCGTGGCGCTTGGAGATGGTCATGGATCTGCAGTCCTGCCACTATGGTCCCTCGCTGTACCAGTAATCTTGTCAGACTCGAGCTAAGGGATGCTAGCTGGGACGTCCAGTTTCCGCGCTGTATGATTGTGACTAGTAGTGAATGGAGATCTGCACCTTTATCATAAATTTGCGAGCGAGGCACCTACGAAGGCACTACAGATCGCAACTGTCATGATGAGTACTCTTACGACATTATCATAGCTAGCCCGCCCTCACTCAAAATGAGTATGCAATTACTTTTGACACGCTAGGCACCTGCGTCAAGGGTCAAGTGATACCGTATGTGTGCGGGTCCAGGCAGGGCTGAGGTGTCAGATGCCAGTGACCCGCGCCGCACGCGGGTTGCCTCAGCATCGATGCAAAGCATGCAGATGCTGGATTGACCTTCGAATGACCGTTTAGCGCACACTTTTGACAGCCTCTCGTGGAGCAACTTGCAGTACCAGCGTGTTGCGGTGCACCACGCGAGCAGGTCGACGACCAGCGCTTCAGACACAAGTGCGCACGCATGTGACTTTGACATTATGGGCATTTAAGTTGTCAGCTGTCCTTGGCGGGTGTGCGATCTGGAAGCCCAGCTTGCCTTGCATGCAAGGACCGCGGGCGTGCTGCTCGAACCACGCAGCTAGCATGGGGACAGATTAGTTACCGTGCAGATCACTTGACTTTTTAGTGGCCTCTGTCGCCGCTCGCCCGCCTGCTGTGCGCACATGCCGTGCAGCAGTTGTCGATGCGGCCTGCGCTCCACGTTCAAAACAAAGAATCCCCCATACACCCCCGCGCCTGCGCCATGTAGCCTTCACAACAGCTTCTCTCCTCCTCTGTGTCCAAGCAGGCGAATTTGTGCCGCCGCGGCCGGGCTCGTGCCTCGGCAGTGTAGACACACCACAGCGGGCGGCAGCTCGACGCGGCGGCGGTTCGGGGCGGCCCCAAACCACTACCCCAGCCGGCCACCATGCAGCTCACAATAGTTAGCGCAGTGGACGACCGCATATTCAGCGTCGAGGTGCGCTCTACCCACCCCACCCCCCCTCGCCGCGCCTGCGCCTCAGCGTGCTCGGCCTCCGACCCCTCACTCGGCGCCTCCTCCGCACCTCCTGCCGCATCCTGTAGCACGCAAATTCCATGTTTCAAAACCGCCGAAACCTCCACAGATCGATCCAAACGAGACTGTGGACACTCTGAAGGCCATCCTGGAGGCCGACAGCGGCATACCCTCGGCGCAGCAGCACCTGCTGCTCGGCGATGCCCAGCTCACCAGCGGCCAGGCGCTCGCCGCGGCCGGCGCGGCAGACGGGGCTATGATCATGCTCCTGCCCGCGCCCGCCGCGGGTGGCGGCGGCGGCGGCGCGCGCGCGGGGCAGGGGCAGGGGCAGCAGCAGCAGCGGCAGCAGCAGCAGCAGCAGCAGCGGGCCGACCCGATGCTGGACCTCAACCCAGACGGCACCGCCAAGAGCCCGGCCGCGTTCATCCAGGCGCTCAAGGGCAACGCGGCGCAGCTGGCGGCGCTGCAGGCGCACAACCCAGCGCTGGCCAGGGCTGTGAGGGATGAGGACGTGGTCGCCCTCCAGGTGGGGGGGGGACCTGGGTGGGAGAGGGGGAGGGGGTCGGGGCCTGCTCTGATGGAATGGCTTTTTTGAGACTGCTGCAGGGACAGGACGTTCATTGGGTGATGGTTTTGTGTGTAATGTTTGTCTCTTTGAGTGTGTGGGTGTGAGGGTGTGTTTTTTGGTGGGGGAGACGCGTATGCTGGAGCGCCCCTTGCGCGCATCAAGTCCCCAACTGCCCCTTGCCTCCAAGAATAACTCCCTTGCCCCGCTGCGCCAGACGTACCCCATTTTCCCTGCTGTCCGCCCCGCGTCCCATCCGCCCCGCACCCCACCAGGCGCACACCCCATCCGCCCCGCACCCCATCCCGCCCTTCTCTCCAC